CTACAGTTCTACTGTGGAGCTGCAGCTGGCCTTTAAGCAATGACAAAGGCGTAATAAGTAATTTGTATTTTTTTTTTCCCCATCTGGTGAAGAACTGAGCTAGTTTTAGAAGCTAGAAGAGCTATTCCTTCTCCAGTAGCACTCTCTTGGCCACACCGGTTCTAAGCAACCGTATCAGAAAGACCAATTCCTTAGGCATCATCTAAAGTCAACAAATTTTTGACAGCAAATGACATTAATCAAAGCAGGCTATGAAGATAGGATCATGCTTTTGTACAAAATTTACTGCATTAGCAATGAGTACTGACACCAAGACTGCTGTATTTAGGTACAGTCTCAAGGGATTTGATACAGGGACGCACTATACTCCATCAGAAAATTGTATCATTTTGAACAAAGAATTGCTAAATGGATGGAAACCCAGTCATTATAGGCAAAGCAGAAATCACATCATTATTGACTGCACTTAGTTGGGCTGACTTTTTTCAGTAGGATCACACTGTGGCCAGAATTAGGTACTGTTTGGTCAAACACTGTCATTGGCAATCTTGCCAAAGAAGCATAAAGCACTAACTAAATCCACACACAGCACTGAAGGAAGAAGCAACCACCTGAAAACACACAGGGAAAAAAATTCCCTGCGCGAGGGGACCTCACAACGTGGCATCGGGCACCTCAGCCCCTGCACCCTGGGTGCAGGAAAGCTGTGACCCCACTGAGCACCCAACTCTCTCTACCAGGCACTGGCTGCTGCCCAAGGCAAAAGGTAGCAGCTCACTTTTAGACAGTGCTCTTCTACAGCAGGTTGTTCAGTGTCTCAGAGCCCCGAAAGGTCTGTGAAGCATTGGCAAGATGGCTAAGTGGTTGCACAAGGCAACCTGGGCTGAAAAAAAAAAGCCAAACCAACACAAGAAAAACAACAATGACAAAATCCATCCACAAAATCCCTAATAAATAAGAATTTTTGTAGTTTGGATGAACAGGAGCAAAATACCATACAGTGCATACTGGCAGACTTAGAAAACAAGAATTCTGGGTAAGGATGACCAACTGTAATGAAGGGGATTAAACCTAGATTGACAGTAGTTACAAAAAAAAAAAAAAATTAAAAAATCCAAGCAAAACCACAAAGCTCTAAACAGTATTGTCAGATGGATGCTGTGGCCACAGAGGTTTTCAGGGTTGTTACACTTTAAGTGATACTCTGCAGAAGGCCATCCTGCTCTGGCAGCGACCTGAGGTCTGTCCCTGGCACTCTCTCTAAAGGTTTTGCTTTCAGCTACCCGTCTGCAGCATCGGATCAATAGTGATCAATCAGTCTGTACCTCCTCCTGCTCCCATGGCCACTGCTGCTCCTGCACCAAGGTACGCAGCACCAGCATCCACACATTTTGTAACTGGGTGTACCTGTCTCCGTTTCTACAGGCCGAGAGTATGTGTAGCTTGTCCACAAATGCTGCTCTGCAGAATACTGTTTTTCAGCCGGGCTATGCCAGCTTTGAAGTGACAGTGGTTTTTGTTTGATGGTGGGAGGAGATTGCTCTTCAGAAGGTGCCTTGTTTTTGAAAAACAAATGCATTGATGTTTAACAAAAAAGCAAAGCTAAAACCTCGGTATCATGAAAAATTTACCAAAAAAGAGCAAATCACTATGAATTGCTTAATCACCCAAGTGAAAGTGAATGGACAGGATCCAACACCACTCCTGCTTGAAGGACACAGAAGCACCTACCAGCTGGTTGTAGGCAAAAGTCAGCATATCCCTCCATTTCATCTGATTAATCTACACCTGACAACACAATACTGTGTACAGCAAAAACACCTCACCCACTATAATTCCTAGGTTTGCATTACTCAGGACAGCCCTCCCTGCCACTGCCCACAGCAGGGTCGTTCCAGCAGGGAAGGTTCACCATCACCTGTGGAAAGCAGCAAAAGAAACTGGAGCGAGAAAGCAGCAAGAAGTTTGAAAGGCACCTAGGGCACTGTGGCTATTCTGTTCCCTACCAATATGAGTGGCAATACAGCCTAGAATTACACTGCTAGCTTTGAACATCTCAGCACATCAGAAAGATGAATTATTTATGACAGACAGTTTGAGCTTCATATTGCGGACAGTGGAGGTGCCTATTTTCTGCAGTGGCTTCCTCAGAAACCTCTCTGTGCTCTCCTGCTAGAACATTAGAAGTGAAACTAGCAATGCTGCCTCATAATTAGAAACATCATGCTGTCCAAACTTGAATCAATTTGGTGGTACCATTCCATGACAGCTATTTTCTCCAGATTATTCAACAGGGCAACTGTTAAACTAAAGTATTTCAAGGAACAAATCTGGTGGAGAGAAGCAGAGAAGTTTTTTCCATGTCAAGGTCTGAAGATCTCCAAAGGTCAACCTCCCTCATGCTTCAAAGTGGCAAGCCTGACATCTGGCCATGGGGCTTGGAATCAAGGATGTTCCTCCTCCCCTCAACTTCCGCACTACAGCATGCCCAAGCTAGAGTGGTATTTATGAACTCTTTGTGAGAAGAAGCAGCGTCATGTGTGACCCACAGGTCTGGTAGAAATCTGCAACACATTTGCTATCACAAGTCCGGTCTAGAGTGGTACTGTTTAAGTCCTGCCCAAGAGCAGATCTTCTCTACAAAGGCAGTATGTCAAACGGGCGTACAACCACTGGCAGCAGAAAGATGGTATCCCCGTTACTCTCACTAATCTTCCTGCTGGGTCCACTGGTTATATAAAAAGCCAGAGAGACAATCATTATTTTATATTCTAATTACCTGCATGACAAAGGCCACCACATTTCCCCAAATTCCCATTTGGCTTCAGCTCTACAAAATTAAATCATTCTTAAACATTTTCCAGAGGTCAAGAATTCAAAACAGTACTTGGTAAATCAGGCCAGTGACTCTTAAGAGTGCATATCTTATTTTTTTATCTAAAATTCATCTAACTATAATCCAAGGATGCCAAACAGAGTGTTTATACTGTATGTAGTATACAGTAAGTTTCTACTTCTCATCATTATTCACGACAGTCCCAAAGCAAATTTAGATCAAGCTTTTAAAAATAGCATTAATAATCTTTAGGGGGCTGTACTAAGACCCTCATTAAGATAGTACGTGAATGTTTCCTGCTTGCACGTGAGATGACAGATTTCAGCCACACAGTCGCAAGACTCCTTAAGGAATTTATTTTTTTAACACTAGTTTGGGAAAGATGGTCGTCATTCTTCCTTCCATACAAGGTGTCAAGGCACCAAGTCAGAAGTATTTCTCTGCCTTGGTGTGACCTGTTAAGCCATATTTAGGACCCGGCTTCTCAGGGGACATTGCAATGCACAGCGTAACTCCCCTGGACTCTGTTGCAGCTGCAAGCACTCACCACCTCTGAAAGTGCTTTCCCAAGATGACAAGCAAGGCACCGAGGGAAGGAAGAGTCTTCTCACAAGCCTGCAAAGGCTTTGCTGAGGTGACCATTCTAGCTTCACACAGGACCTCCTCAGCAGAGGCAAGAGCAGGGTCTGGTTTCCGATGAACAACGCAGCTGCTTCAGCACCAAGACCAGACCTTCATTCAATATTATTGTTCCCCATCCCCTGCTCACCTGGTAATTTTGGTAACAAAACAGGATGGATTTATCAAATAATCTCCTCTCTTTCCCACAGCCTCAGTTCACCTGCAGGGCAAATCCCTCCTGAGCGCTGCAGTCGCAGGGATCATAGCCAGCCTTGGAACAGGCTCTTCCAGAGTCCTCTTGTTAGAGATGTCAAGGGCTGGCAATTCCGACTGCCATTGTTGGAGCTGCAGGAGTTCAGCCTGCTGCCAATTAGGCCTGCAATTTTCTGGGAGCCATGAGCTTGAAAGAAGAGTTGATGAAAGGAAGTCCAAGCAAGAAATAAGAGGTTACAATTCTGACCCCAATTTTGTATCATCGGTCCCTGAACACAACTTTTGCTTGAAGAGGTTAGCCTTGAGAAACCATGCCAAACACAGCACCACTGAATGGGATATTACCAACAGCCTCTCCCTCTGCTGACAGTAAGGCAGAAAAAGACACCTCTAACTTTTCAGTAGAGTTAAGCCTTGATTCAACTTCTAACTTAGATTAAATATCCCTCCCTTCAGAGGTTAACAAGCATCACTGACTTAGTTTTTTTGGGGGGGAGCTGGATAAACAGCACAAAGGCTTCTTGCTGGAAACAACTGCCATTTACCAACACGTATCCTAGAAAGCTGTCAACTAGTCCTGATTTAACTGACCTGACAACTCGTTATTATTGACAGCAACCGTTTACTCTCAGTGACCAAAGCTTTCCTGGCAGAGCTCTCTCTCTGGATCTATCATTAACATCTACATCCTAACGCTGCTAAATAATTCAGCACAGCATTTAGCCTTGTGTCCTTGCCTCTCTGCCCAGAAACCACACTCACTATTTACTGTACATTCCAGCAACGGGGAGGAAAAACCTGCCTGGATCATGGTTCCTCCTGGCTCTGTGTAACCAAGGGGGAATTTCAACTCTCGACATAGAAGCGTGGGTTTTATTTATTTTATTTATTTGGAAATAGTGTTTATTAGATACCTAAATATAAAGTGTTATTTATCCACTCGGAGTCATGACCATGTGGGCTCAGATTCACATGCAAATTCCCCTTTTAATAATCCTAATGCAGGGAGTGCTCCAATCAGAGCACTATCAGCCCCGGCTCCTGGATACCTGATGCCAGCTTTGCTGGTAATGTAGGCCACGGAAGCAAATCCAGAGAGATTGAGTTGGAAGTGGAGAGAGGCTCTGAGATCTATTTGCTTGGCTTCCTGACGAGGGAGGGGAGGTGCATCTAACTTCTTTTTTTCTTTTCCACCACAAACGGGCTATCATTTCAGAGGGATCATTAGCCGACAGCAGCCCAGCTGGGTCAAGGCTGGGAGGCGGGGACGCAGTTGCAAGCAGCGAAGCAAGGTGGAGGCACGAAGACAGAAGACCAGGTTAATGAAAACATGAGGTGGTTCTTGGGCAGCAGCTGGAGGAAATTTGGACACGCTGACAGGGGAAACTATGACTGGCTAAACAGTGAACCAAGTGGGCCGCTTCTGGAAACAGAGCTTCAGGTCTGTACCCCCCTGCTTGTCTCTGTGGCATGTCCTTTGACTTTGCATGCGTGTGTACGTCTGAGTAATGCCTCTGTGTATAGCACAGAGTAAATACCTGGGTATCGAGACTTATCAAAGCACTAATGCTCCATTACATGGAGTCAGAGCATTTATTTACTGTTGTTAAATTGTTTTAAACATATTTGTGGAAAAAGAAAAACATTAGGTGGAAAAATCTTGCTGGAGTGGCAGGTAAAGTTGTTTAATCATTTCTTCTAATCACAATGCATTCTGCTGTTCCTTGATTTCCCTTCTTTTAAATGCATGTTTACGCTTTGGATCTGGTCCCACGAAGCCATTCCGCAGATGGTAAGAGTCAGTAGCAGTCGGCAATGAACTCTTGTTCCCTAAGCTGCGCACTGATTACTTCTGCGAGAGGGGATCACAGGCAGGCAAGTGGGGGAGGGAAGTAGCCCTGGGAGATGAAAACACAGCCTGCCTTTCTGCCTTTGTCTGGGATACAGCAAAAGGGTTTCTCTGATCAGAAATAATTATTTAAGGTGCACGTGTATCCCCAGTAAATGTCTGAGTCAAGCAGCATTAGCAAATGAACTGTCCATGCTGCTTAGCTGAGCTATCAAGTGTACTGTTGTAAAATAAAAGGGGGTAGGAGTTGAGGGGGAAGCGATTAAAACAGGAGAAAGCGTAGTTTTTAAATGCCTCTACAATTTTAACAAAGTCTACCTCATCAGTAACATTGCCAGAGTGAGAATAGCAATGGCAACCTCTTCACACCTTGAGACTAGTTTTGTCTGACAGTGGGAAACAAACAGCAGAGTCACACTCTAACAAGTATTTGAAAACTCTGTGTAAATCTAGGCTGACTTTAAAATTATGTGTCGTTATTAATGTACACAAAAAAACATCAAAATGTTTTTATGTTTGCCAGAGTTACATGTTTTTGCTTTTTACAAGCAATAATGAATCAGTTTTAAGAAGCGGGATGGAACATGTAAAAGCACCTATGCGTGGACCACAGCCTCACAACTTCAAAGCAGACTTTGCTTCAAATCCACTTAAAACATTTCAGTTTCCTGATTCAACTTCAAAAGATCTTAGTATAAATATGAGCTATATTAATAAAAATAATTTTAATAAAGTTCTAAGTACCCTAGCAAATCATTAACAACATAATAAATCCTAGCACCAATCAAACAATCACTTCAATGGGAATTTAAGTAAGCAAAATAAACTTTGTTTTTTCTATCCTTACACAAAAGCTTTCTTTAAACTCATGTTTGGCTTTATTAGGTCATTCCCTTCAAAACCAGGTACTAGGCTTCTTTTGTTCTATAGGAAGAGTTCCGTTCTAAACCCATTCCATTACTCTTCGTGGAAATGCTGCACAACTGGGCTGCACTCAGCATTTCATTCCTTTACCACCAGGCATGAGTCAAAGCTCATCTAAACTGATATGGGTCACGTAATCTGTAAACTGGCAACTGTACATGCTCAGCATATTTAAAAAAAATGTAGGCAGACAGATTACTAATGAAAGGCTTTACTACTTCTAGTCTGTGCTCAGTGTTTTGGAAAACTGACCTTCTGCTTCAGTCTCTACAAACATATAAATGAAAGGAAGGGAATAAAAATAAGCCATTACAATGACCAAACCATCCTACTAAAAATCAGTTCTGGGAAAACAGAGGACTTTTTATAAACATAATCCCTTTTACTCTCATGCCTTTTTCTGCCCTTCTCTTTATAAAGGATATTCTCCCTGTATTTATGTGTCTGTAACTTATTTCATGTTGGAAGTCGGAGCCTTATTTTCGTGAATCACAAACCCAACAATAGCTGCTTGTGATGACACAGGCAGAGCACGCTGACCTACAGTGAAATAGCAGCATCAAAACCAAACCAGTCAATGAAACTCTACCAAATAATTCCCTCAGTCACTTCATATGCTTGGTTTGGAAACTTCCAGGTGTTAAACAGTAGAGAATTTTACTTTATATGTGTTCTGCAGTTGGTTTATTTGCTTACACTTTCATTTCAATTACTGCAAATTTAGTTTCCTTTCTAGATCATTTTATTTTCCAGTTCTGAAAGTTGTTTCTGATACTTATACACAGTAGTTAATTTTTCGGTTTAAAGCTTCAGTTTTAGAAGTTAATTTTAGTTCAGTTTAGAACTTGAGTTTTATTTTAGAACTTCAGAGCAAATATTTTTTTATCTATATAACTTTTGTTTAATTTTAGTAAAATTATTTATCATTTTTGCATAACCCGTTTTTTATGGCTACAAGATTTTTCAAAGTCTTAATGTCGAGATCTTTGCAACATTCTTCAGTAGCCCCTTAGCCACTCATCCCAGAAATGGGTGCAAAACCACAACAGGAAAGCAGTGACTCATACTGCTCAGTTGTCTCCCAATGCTTTTGGATATACCTACAAAAAGTTAACCATCTTCTTGAACCACATGTCAATGCAAAATGAGGCCATGTAAAACATTTGTCAGGAGACAGTATCAAAATGGGCATGTAACTCACTGTGATTTATGCTTCAGGTTCTGGGTATCTGTGAGGCAGTATTAACAGTACATGTTATAAACAGTTTCACCTCAAATAAGTACACTAAGTAACCTACAGATTATTTCACCCAAATAGGAAAGCTAAGGTTTAACATCAGCTGTGTTTGAAAAGCTACAGACACTTTGAAACACAGACGAGGAAAACTGGTCCTTCATGTCACCTGTTATCACACAGAAAAACATATTACTCAATCCTTACTCCTGTCTGCTTTACATGCCACTATTTTGCAGACTGTAGTTCGATACACTTACTGTTCTTTCACAGCTGCATGGAGCATGGTATTCACTTCATTACTAGCCATCCAATGTGCTGCTCTCCCCACCTTTCTCAGCACAGGGCCCAAGGTCTTATTTACTACATCTTCTTCAAACATCAAATTTCTTATGTCTTTGCTTTATACACATTACTGAATAGATAGTCACGGGGCACTTGTATAGTTATTTTGAGTAGAAGACTAGACTAGAGTAATTTCAGTTGGAAGGGACCTACAACGATCATCTAGTCCAACTGCCTGACCATTTCAGGGAGTGCAAGAGGATATGAACTGTTTTGTAATTACCTACATCATTTTTGCCCAGATCCTTTATTGTGTTAAAGTGCTCCAAGGCTCACGTCCCTGCTCTTTCCCCTTCAGAGACAGCAACGCAGATGCAGAATTTCTGCAGACCAGACCCAGGGATCCTAACCCAAAGTGAAGTATAACTAATGAATAACCCACAACAAACACCTCAGCTGAACTGTCGTGCCCCACCTAGAGCATTCAGTAACAGAGACAGGAGTGCAGCTCCCCAGGAGAGAATTCACTAACCCTAAGTAGCAGACAGTCCTCTCTCTTCCCTCAGTCTCCCAACTCAGTCACTACACACTCTACAAATCCTGCAACACGTTACTCTGAGGTACTGCAGTTTTCTTCCCTAATCAATCCATCACAACCCTAGAGTAGGCATTTTGTACACAAAAACTTAACTAAAAATCGTATGTGTTGTGGATCAAATTACAGATTCACAGATTTACAAAACACTGGCATTTATTCAGTCTTGAGGGCTTGAATTTGCAACTTGAGAAGCAGTGTTATAGGTTACTTTGTGAGGGTTTTTAAAAACAAAAAAGTTTTTATCCCAGTAACCACACTGACACCCAAATGAACCTAGGTTGTCCTTTTATACATACTTTGTAAACTGGCCACCTGTGCTAGCTCATACTACAGTTAGTTTCTCTTCTTCCATTTTTTTACCATTAGATGCAAATTGTCCCCTCGAACAATAATACATTTTACATATTGGTTGCCCAGAGAAGCTGTGGATGCCCCCTCCTTGGAAGTGTTCAAGGCCAGGCTGGATGAGGCTTTGAGCAACCTGGTCTAGTGGAACGTGTCCCTGCTCATGGCAGGGGGGTTGGAACTAGATGATCTTTAAGGTCCCTTCCAACCCAGACAATTCTGTGATTCTATGATATTTCTGTTGACAGATACTTCTTTGCAGGACCCAAGTCTGATTGGTTACAGTTGAGTCTCTGGAACAAAGTATTCCCCTGAGACCAAAGAGCATTTGTTAATTCCTACCATTAAACTTAAGCTTTTCTTCCCCTGCCTCCCAGTTTGTCACTAGCTTTTTTATTCTTCTTCAAAGAGAATGTGACTGGTGCAGTGGGAGAGGAGCCCCACCATTTGCTCCTCAGACTTCTCTTCTCATTCCTATCCAGTCCTACTGCCCTTATTCTCCGTTCCTTTTTTGGCTTTCCTCCCCACAGCTTTGCACCTTGTGTATCCTCCTCACAAGCTGAGGCTCTCCATCCACGCTGGTGCACAATTCTGATCCGCACCCTTCTCTACTCTGCTCTCCCCTGATGAGTCCGCAGCTCTTCACTTCAGGAATACCGGTTCTTATCCTGTGCTTCAAATCTGTATCCAACCCACTTGTTCCTCCTCTGTCACCTTTCCACCCTGTGGATTCTCAAAAATCCAGTCTTTGTATGAGGGCATGTCAGACAACCATAACACTAAACCATGCTTCCACCAGCACCCTAGGATATGTTGTCCTTGGATATTATTTAAAACACAAACTTCCTTTCAGTGAAATTCAAAGGGAAGTTGCACTGAGTTTAAAGAGAATCCAGCTTAATATACCTTTTACTAGTCCCATGTAGGAAACACCGGCCATCTCACCCTCTGTCCTCACAAACCACGATAGTGCACAACTCAGAGATGCAAAGAACAACACTTAACCTGACTGAAAGCCTGCTCCCTACAAATTAAACCCAAAACTCAAACGTGGATCTCAAAAATGATCCATGATCTTCACTGATCATGAATAATGCTGTCCAGTATAAGCTCAGCTCTTCTAAATATTTATTATAAAAATATCGGTAACATAACAGTATCAGTGAGTCTCAATATACATTGTGCACAAACATATTACAGAATACTTTTTCTAATTTTCCTGTGGAGTGTTTTATGCACATTGTAAGACACAATACTAAAGTGTTAACAAACATTTTTAAGAAAACTCCTCATTCTTTAAAGATTATTTAATGCCTGCATTAGAATAATAGCTGAACAGTTTCTTCCAACTCTGCTGTTTCCTGTAGCTCATTTAATGGTCAGGTAAGACAACAGCTTGTACTGCCAGAAACCCTTTAATAAGAAATGATCAGTAAACATGAGATAATTCTTTAGTATGCATTTTTGTGGTAAAAGACAGCTGGGGGAAAAAACAACAACAAAAAAAAGCTTAATACCTTATCTACAATAGTTTCAATGTATTTTAAAATCACTGTAATAGCTTTGGCTTCAGACCAACATAATCTCAGGCAGGGGGTGGGGGGGAGTCTTCCCTACATTATTTGTTAGACATCAAAACCTATTTACTTTCTTTTTCTTAGGCGTGACCACATACTAAGAATTTCATAAGACAACAAAGAATTGCAGAGGTAACAACTGCCTGGTAAATAATCAGTTAACTGTAGGTTACAGTGTGATTTTGCAGATGATTCTTGGAAGAATAAGCAGAGAAAATTTTTGTAGACTAAGAAGGGGGCACTGGAGTTACTGGCCCTTTCCACAAAGCCATCACTGCAAAGAGCCCATCTGCATCCCTGCTTCCAAATGCTTTGAGGAAAGAATCACTAAAGTTCTTCTAGCTTGAAAAACTGCCTTCGTTCAAAATAAAGGAAATGTGATCTGTTTAGTTTCACCATAAAAATGTGAAAAAGCTTAGCTAAAAAATGTGAGTACTTAGAATGGGAATGAGTTGATAATAAACAGCATTTTAGGGTTTAGGTTTTTCCCCTTCTCTAGACTAGACTTGGAGCAAGATTTAGTTATTAGAAGCTACAGCTAGATAGGGTCAGACAGGAAATAAGATATATTAAATTTTAAAAGTGAAGCTAACACAACAGAGTAGCACAAATATTATTAAAAAAAAAAAAACAAACAAAAACCCCAAACCAAACCAACTCAAAAGACAAACTTATAACTCTTGTTAACACTACAGCAGAATTCAAAAGCTGTGGGACAGAGCTTTTTGTGCTGTATTTTGCAGGAGATTAAGCCAACCAAATAGTCACAGCTGCTATTACTCTTACACCACAAGTTATTTTTCCACAATTTTAAACAGGGAAAATGATTTTTGGATAGCTGGCAGAACAAGCTCAAGAAATAGCTGCAGTTCAGGCTGTCCTGACACACTGTGTTTTATTTGGGGCTGGTCTGTAAGGTTAGAAGAGCCCAAAGAACAGGTATTGTATGCAGTGAGTCCTGATGAAAGGGATAGTTGTCATAGTATTTGTTCTTTAAAGTAAACAGTAGAGTTTCCCAAATAGAAATAAACAACACTAGATGGTGGATCACCAGCCCTACTCCTCTGCAATTCAGTGCTCTCAGAGGTTTTAAAAGTTTAACCAGTCTTTAACAAAGAGGACTGGTCCCAGCCTAATCCACAAGTAACAAAATCTCCTACCAAAATACATACAGTTCCAAGCTGTTGTTTTTTTTCTGCCCATGGAGACAGGATTTCCTAGAAATTCCCCACTCTTTGCAACTTCTCCATTTCTTTTGTCTCTAGTTGTCAAAACATTTTCTTTTAATGGACGAGCAAACAGAACTTGACAATTCACAAGCCTGCAAAACATATTGCTCTAGTGCCACTAGTGCAGACAGAAAGTAACTTGGAAGAGCAATGGCTAGGTGACAGCAGGGGAAGGTGGAGAATATATATTTTCATCTCTGATTAAGAGGTCTCCAGGAATCCAACACACTACCTATTTGCTTTAATTACAGAGCAGACAACAGACAAGTTCAACCAAAGACGACATAGAACCATTTCTGTGCATCATATTGCCTGCCACCATGATGCTCTTCCTGGCATCCCTGCTGCTCTTCCTGTCCCGCCGTTGCCAGCGCCCTGCTCCGCAGGGGCAGATCTTCAGCATCGACCTCCCCGAGACCCTGACCGAGCACGACGCGTCCAATTTCCTTTCCGTGCTGCCCTGGAACAGTGAACAGAGTTTCCACTACTCCACTCTCCTCCCAGATGCCACATTCCTCACTGTGTGTTTGCCCCCGTCCTATGAGGAGGCCACCATGAAGACTTCCATGGATGAGGCTCACATTGAGCTCTCCTCAGACCCAGTGCCTCCTTATGAAGAGAGCATGCTGCAGTCCAACAGCACCAAATAAACTTCCTATGGAAGCACCTTAGCTGAAGCATGAGGCCCCTCAAGGCACAAATGGGGAACTGCTATGGCCTTTAAAATTAGCAAAAAGATTCCAAATGAGGCGACAAACCAATGAATTAATGACGGAAGAAACTTGGAGTAACAGGGAATAAGTCTCCTCACCTCATCCTGGGATTCTCCACCTTCCCTTGTGGCAAGTGTACACACACACCTAAGCACCAAACCGGTCCCAGGCTGGTACCATGGGTATTCCAGTTAACAAAGCATGTCGTGCAAGGATTAAACTTCAGGACAGGTGGGAATCTGTCTCTTTGCCATCCCTCAGCTCTAAGGAAACATGAATTATGCTATAGATTTACCAGTCACAAAAAGGGCTTTTAGCACATACCTATTCTGGTTTGGCTTTTTCTTTTTTATGTGTTGATTTTTAATTGAGTTTGTGACAAGCTGATTTACTCAGCCTGTGTGTGTTAACATCACTTTGTTCTGCAGTGCTCTGGAATGATTGCAGCAGCTCTCAGGAACACAAATAAATATATATCCTTTACAAAACTTCCAGCAACTGTCCCAAAGGTTCGAACATTCAGTGTGGCTAAAGGCTGGTTTTTATCACTGTGGAACAATGAGGACAACCAAGTAAGACCTGCTTATTCTGGGTGAGGAAGACTCCAGCACCACCGCACAAGAGCACGCTCACATTGTTGGTGCAGGCTACTTGCCAAGGTCTGCAAGGTCCTGACGTTCTAGACTACTGACTTGACTTGTTTTCCAATTTACAAGTCTACTACAATAAACCCTGTGACCAATCAATAAAATCAAATGCACCAAAAAAAATAATAAAAATCTGGTCTGTATTTCAAAACTGCGCTATACTCCCTTCCCCTTCGTCTCTAGAGCAAAGTAAATCTCGTTCAAGGGCGCTGTTGGCCGTGGTTCAGTTTCTCAGGAGGGCTTGCACATGCTTACTTTTAGACAATGATGTTATCTCTAATTCTTTCTTCCAGGTTAGCATTTTCACTATGTTGACAGATGCTTTGGTTATGGAAAGTGGCTATTACAGATCCTGACAACCTCAAAAATTATGACAGCTTCTTCCTTGCAGGTGTGAGCTATTCCATGATGTGACATTTGTCTGTGGCTTGCCAACAACCATTGTGTGCAGTCTTCATGTAACTCCTAAACCCAAAGGCTGTCCTGACTTGTACCTTGTGATTCCAGCAACTATCATGAGATGACAATATCAGCCAGTCCTTCTCTGTGAATGTGTTACATTTTTTTTTTTTTTTTAATTAAAAACAGAGGAACAGATCATCACTGTACAGCAGAAGAAAGGCCACTTTTGAGTTGCAGGTAGTTAAATTTCATGTCATTATGTCAACAGTGGCACAAATCACATCACCACAGTAACCAAGCAGTCTAGGTCAAAACCAATGATCTCACTCATACAGTTCCCTTAAACAAAACAAAACAAAAAAGTCTGCCTTTTGTAATTTGGAAATCAGGTTATTTTCTTGAATGACACTTTTGAAATCATTAACTTTTCTAACATTCCCTTTTTTCAAGAACAGCAGCAGCAGCAGATGTGCTGATTTGCACATTTGCCAGGCTGGAAGAGGCTTTGAGCAACCTGGTCTAGTGGAAGGTGTCCCTGCTGATGGCAGGGGGGTTGGAACTAGATGATCTTTAAGGTCCCTTCCAACCCAAACCACTCTACGATTCTGTGTTTTAGACAAATCTAAAGGCAACCAACCTTTTTTATTTTCAGACCATGTCTGGGTAGAGTTCCTGGTATTCGCTGATGGCTTTGAAAGTACTGCACTTGACTGCCTCCTTGCATTTTGTTTACCTCCTTAGTGTTTGGTACATGCAGTTATTGCCAGCTACAAGGAAAGTTGGAAAAATACAAGAGTCGCAGACAACACGTGCTAACTAATCAGGAAGGTACAAACATTTGAGATTAAAGATAAATCACTTCTGCCCCTTGTGTCTGTATATTCCACTAACATCAGCAGAATTGTACAGGTATGCTTGAAAATTCAGCTGTCATTGTATCGAATTGAGTACATTTTGCCTTAAAAGATCTGCCATGTTCTGAAATGAGTTAAGTTGTTCTTCAGCACAATTTCTTGTTTATCCTTACCCAGGGTAGCGCCTGAAACCCAACCCCTGGGATCATCATCCTAAACTGCTCTCCGGTTACCTGAGTTACAATTAAGAGAACTTCTTGAGTGATATTTCTTGTGACCAAGACTGATAGAACTAGTCAAGAACTTCCAGAACTATTCAAGAACTGCTATTCTCTCCAAAAGTATAGAGAATGATTGTCTCTAACAACGGATTTCTCAGATAACTCAAATCCTGACTTAGACCAATAGTTTCTGCATTTGTGTGATAGTTTAATTTAGCTGGCAGCCAAACAAGACACAGCCACTTGCAGCCTCCCCCCCAACCCACCCCAGGGAATCGGGGCGAGAACTGGAGGGGTAAAGGTCAGGAGACTTGTAGGTTCAGATAACAATTTAATAATTAGAGTAAAAATAAAATTAAAATAATAATAGTACTAATGGTAACAACTATATATATCTCTGAGCGATGCAGAGTACAGTTACTCACCACCCTCTGATAACGATCCTGGAGGAGTGAAAATGAACCCCGAAACTGAAATCACAATCCCAGCAAAAAGGAGCTCGAGAGATTCCTGAGAGAATTGCCCCCTTTCTGGTCAGTCCCAGTTAATATACTAAACATGACGTAATATAATTTGGAATATCCTATTTGCTTATCCAACTGTCAATTCTGGGGTTTACTGACTGCTTCACTTTTCTTCTCCACTCCCTCCTTCCAGTCCTCTCTTCTTGGAAGCTGCCCAAGCACAGTGTCCTTGTAGTTATCAACATTGTTCTCATAACAATCCTCACTGAAACCAAAACACAGTGCTTTCTAACTACTAAGAAGAAAATTAACCCTATCCTAGCAAAAACCAGGACAACTTGCATTACTATAGCAAATTAAAACCAGATACTTGCCCAAATCTGAATGAACAGGAACACCTAGCTATAGGGATGATATCATCTAGAATTGGTATCCTTTACCTCATTGCGGAACAGCTTTGTCTAGTCTTGCATGTTAATTGTCCCTAGTGGGTTTTAACCTAACCAGTATCTCACTCTTAAACCTCTACCCCAAAGAGAAGGTCTAGTAAAACAAAAAAGAGAATGTTTCTTATGCAAACATACTGAAATTAATCTCCATTGCCTAGAAGCTACCTCTGATCATATCAGTCTGTGGTGACACACGCGCCAGTAACCACAGTGTTACTGGTATTGAGCTACTGGTTACAGACCAGCTATTGGATTGTTCGGGCACTTTCCGCATCCACATGGAGAGCTCATGATCCAAAGGGAACTTATGTCTGGCAATAAAGCAGCCATAAGTGTAGGGGAAAAGCCTTTCATTTTCTCAGCTCCACTCATTTGAAAGGTTAAGGTCCAGAGCACACCATCTAAAAGAAAGATGTTAGAGTTTCAAGTTTTCAAATACAGTAAACGAAGTAAAATAAAGTTCCTTCATGCCTGCAGCAATCTGAACTGGTGCCAGTAAGCTTCAAATGCAGGAAGATTAAGTTAGAAAATAAATTTCTAGAAGTGAAGTGCAGTCTGAAAGTAGAGTGAAGCACTGGCAGCAGCATCTCTGGACTCATTAAGAAGTTAGACAAACATCTGCCAGGAGTGATGAAAGATCCTAGTTGGAGAAAGGAATGGATTAGATGTCTTCTCTGAGTCCTTTCCCATTTCTATGCTCTAAAGCTGTATCAAAGTAAATTTTGTTTGCCATTTCCAAGTTTTGTATGAAATCAGATGTCTGTTTCCTTGAAAAATCTGATACTATGAAATTTTACATGCATCCAGAGATCACTGTAACCCTGGCATTGTACTTTATAGCCACAAGGTCCTTAAATGCATTTTTCTTTTTATTTAAAACTGATTAAGATTAGGATTTATTAAATATTAATGTCTGCTAATAGACATTTAAAGTTTTACAAGTTGTGAACTCACCATAATGTGAAGGGTAATTGTATTGCAGGTTTCCATTAAGAAAACACTAACAACCATAATGAGATTAATTATTTATAAACAAACTCTTTTGTATACTTAGTACAAAACTATGGAATGATACAACCCCCTCTTATTAAAGAGGCTTTCAAAAGCTTAGAGGGCAACCTCTGTGCTTGTCCTCTCTGCAAGAGCTGCCAGAGTCCCCCACTGACATGGCTTCATTACTCTGTAGACTTCTACAGTTGAGTCAGCAGTCTTATTCTAGTTAGAAGTGCAAAGCTTTTTTACTTTAAAAAAAAAAAAAA